CAGCCATCAAGTTCCAGTCAACAGCTGTGGCCTGTATGCAACACTGACAGTTGTTAGGAAATATGAAGTTAGGTTGCAGTTATGCCAGGAGGGGAAGCACCCAATCTGGGTCATAAATGTGGTCAGTGTCATAACAGAATTAAGATGGTATAACAGTGCCATGAGGGAAAGGCTCCTGCTAACCAGTAACCAGGATTAGTCAAAACATGAGACGGTGAGATCCACAGTGGGCCTGAGTCTGGCTCATGGACAGCTGTGGTGTGGGTGCCTGCGCCTCTCACACAGCATGGGGCAGAGTCAGAACATAGCCACCAGCATAGTGAGCAGAGACCACCACAAGAGAAATCCTGTCCCTGTCAGTGACCAGTGGTTCCAGGTAGCATGAATGGCCCATCCAGGTAGGACCAAGATTCACATATGTAGGCTCAGAACTCTCTTCAGGAATTTTAAAACAACCAAAGTTACTTCCTTTCTGGATATGTCCTTGTCCTTAGAGCACTGTGACCCATCTTCATTCTTTTTTTCCCACCAAACTAACCTAAAACACTTTCCTGTGCCATGTCCCAGCTTCAAAAGCTGAGGGCCCTTATACAGAGGCATGAAAGCAACACTGTCCTCTTACATGGTCTTGTTTTATTAGTGAATTTGGCAGTGCCACTATATACTGTAGAGCTCATGCTGCGTTAAGTAAAATAATTGCTGACCCAGTCAGGGAAGTGAAGAGTAGGCCAGTTTTCAAACTAGGCTGCTAGTTGGACAACCTGCTAAGGCTTAGCCCTTTGAAAATGATGGACATTCCAGTTGTGAACAGAAACAATTTTGGAAATACCAGATGATTTCCTTGACTACAAATGTAGGCCCTTTACACTTAGGCGGAAATTTAAGGAGCATGATGATGGATACATGCATTTCAGTTCCAAGCAAGTCCTAGTGGAAATGCCTAATCCTTTATGTGCATCTCTTCCTAAATTTAATTTTCTCATTCGTTAGTGATAGTTTAGATCTGCTTGCTTGGAGTGGAGATGGGTGGGAAAGAGATTAAAAACAGAATACTAGAATGAGATATTAAAAGTTCCTTTTTACCTTACCCATTGTTCCAGCACCAGAAAAAGTTCCTGTTCTTTTTGCAAAAACTTAACTGCTAAATGTAGTTACGGAAGGTGAAAAGACTTCATTCAAGATCTTTGTACATATGCCAGGATAAATGAGAAACATGTTCCTAGCCAGTATTTTGCACGTAGGTCCCTTGTTGAAATGTAATTATGTTTGTGATTAAACAAACAAAAAAAATTGTCATGCAGCTGTCTGATCTGTGTGACAGAAATGGACAAGAGTCTATCATAAAAATCATATCAAACAATCTCAAAGCCTGATCTTTTATATTCTGCAATGACAGGA